TCATCACTATTACACAAGAGTACATAGACACATGCTTATGGTTCCGTCTAAATCCTACAATGGGGTTATCTCATTATGTAAAAGGTTTTGTCGTTTTAATTCTAATAATGACATTATTCACATTTAAAAACTATGCAGAATGGAAATTTGCATACGGCAAGAAAAGCTCATAATCTCATAATCTTGGAAGGGCGGTGGGATAGCCTAGTGGTTAAAACGTTCGTTCCTCACACCGAAGACCCGGGTTCCATTCCCAACACGGGTACAATGTGTGAAGCCCATTTCTGGTGTCCTCCGCCGTGATATTGTTGCAATATTGCTAAAAGCGGCGTAAAACTCACTCACTCACTCATGATTTTGGAAGTGTCCATTGTGTAAAGTTAAAAGACATCGTTTCAAACACATATTGAAAATAAAACATTTTCGCCAGGTTTGCAAACATATCTAGTGCGCTGAAAATCCTGATAGTGTAATATAAGTAAAAAAATAGTTCGACACCTCCTGTCAGGAAAAAAGTGTGTGTTTTGCAACGGTCGCTGAAACTAAACCACTCACAAACATTCCAGGTGTCACTGAAATTCTTCCCGACCCTTGCGTATAGCAATCCTCAACAAAGGAGTTGGTGTTGATCAGCCATTAAAGCACACAATTGTTAGATCCACTGTTCACATATGTGAAATGTCAGATTGCAATCTCAGGAAATAGTCCATTCCCTACAGCGCTGTTTCGTTTAATAGACCAAAATGTCATTTGAATTCGTCTATATCAAACATTACGACTGACATGCCATGTATACTGTTGTCCTGTGCTATTGGTTTACAGTAAAGCACTGTATTCCTTTGGACCACGTATCACGAACATCTGGTGCCAAAGTACAATCTCATCATTAAAGAATTGTGAGAATGAGCAACTCAATGAGCTGTGATGACCTGGAGCTGGTGATCTAGAACGTCAACGACGACGAGGCATTGATTAAGCTCTTGAAGGGTTGTGAAAACAAACTGACAGACTGGTAAAGTTTGTTGGCTTTGACTAGTCGGTGTGTGTGTGTGTGTGTGTGTGTGTGTGTGTGTGCGCGTGCGTGTGAGAGAGACAGAGACAGAGACAGAGAGAGTATTCACTCACTCCCATTCCATTTTAAGTTGTTCCACAAAATGAATTAGTGTTTGTGTTGTTTCACGTTGCGCTAATTCCAGCTATATTATGCCTGTCTGCATAATCGAGTTGCTATTATTTTTCTATTATTGTATTTGTTTTTATGCTGCACTCGGCAATATTTCTGCTATATGGTTGCGGTCTGTATATAAGTAAATAATTGAGTCCAGACTAAACATTCCAGTGACTTGACATCAGCATAAATCTGCACAATTCGGATACGATGACAGGTATGGCAAGGAAGTCAAAACAGATAATCCAGTGATCAACATCATGACCATCGATCTACGCAATTGGGATACGATGATATGTCTCAACCCAGTCAGCGGGCCTCGATCTCGTTATTCGCCTCTTAAGACAAACGCGGGTTGTTGTAAACCTGGGCCCAGATTTTCGAAGCTCTCTTAGCGCTAAGATAGTCGTAAGTGCCATACCTTAACATTAACTTACGACTATCTTAGCGCTAAGAGAGCTTCGAAAATCTAGGCCCTGATTTTCACTGTTAATTTTTGTAGGAAGAAAGTATGTGTCACGAAGGTGTCCTTACGCAAGCCCTCGCCCAAGTCTCACGACTTGATCTGTTTCTCGCTCTTTGCGACAAGCATTGGTAGCTGTGGGGCAATTTCTTGCCGCAAATATGACGTTGTAAGTCGTCCGTCGTGGACGTTGACGTTGACGTTGACGGTTCTTTTAATATTTCGACTTTTCAGCGTTGTACAAGGCAATTACATTGGTTACCAGTGTATAGTTTCCTGATGGACCAAATGCTTCAACATTTGTGGGTAGCATGGCCGCTTCTTATCACTAAATTTGTTCAAGAAATCCTGTCGGAAACTCGGAGGTGGTCAGTGGCCATATTTAATACTATTTCATTTTTCTACCCAGAAACTTCCAACCAACGAATATGTATTGTTGATAGCTGTTTGTTTGATGAATGTTAATAGCACAAATATGTGATTAGCATAACGTTTCTTTACGTTAATGCCTTTTTAAATTTATAGTGTTGACTACATATCCAGGTGATCTACGATGTCAATGTATTGTATAAACCAATGACGTTGAAAAATAACACCCATAGACCCACTTTACAGACGGATCCAAGGATAGTGGCAAAGTTACCAGTGCCAGTAAACTATGAATAGATGTATGCACATTATTATTTGCTAAATGTAACTTTGGGCTTTCCGCCCGTGTTCTAAATGGTAAATAGATGATATTGTGATGTTAAAATGTGTACATGTACATGAAAACTTGCATTTGAATGTAACTTTGTGTAATTACAGATTTGTGTATATGTGTAAACTTGGTCTCGTCGTTTAATTTTCACTCACTCACTCACTCACTCACTCACTCACTCACTCACTCACTCACTCACTCACTCACTCACTCCACTCACTCACTCACTCACTCACTCACTCACTCACTCACATACATTCTAGCTGCCACTACCGATATGTGAACTACCGATGAAAAATACACCCGTGAAGATCCGGGTTAGAATTGATCTTCAGCAACCCATGCTTGTTGCAAAAGGCGACTAACGGGATCGGGTGGTCAGACCTGCTGACTTTGTTCACACATATCATTGTATCCCAATCGCGTAGATCGATGCTCATGCTGTTGATCACTGGATTGTCTGGTCCAGACTTGATTATTTACAGACCGCCACATATAGCTGGAATATTGCTGAGAGCGGCGTTAAACCAACCATCCAACCAAACCTTTATGTTAAGGCTCAAAGTAGCTACAGGGCTATCGGGAAAAGCACAATGAAATGTGTTGGAAATTTGGTGGATATCTAACGGAGGAAAGGAGTTACTGTAAATTTAACATATGGTTCATCGTGACTGATGACAGTGACCTTTGACTTTCTCCAAGACGACAGACAAGGCACCACGTATCGCCACATTCTTTTATGGTTCTATTGGCAGTTATTAAACACCACGTGTAAATTGGCACCAATAATGGTTGGTATTATTACCATTTTGGCGTGAGTGAGTATCTTTTTACGCTGTTGTTAGTGAGTGAGTTTGGTTTTACGCCGCTTTTAGCATTATTCCAGGAATATTACGGCGGGGGACCCAAGAAATGGTCTTCACACCTGTTGTTAGTAATGCGATGAGAGAGTGAGCAATGCTTTTTATGCCGCTTTATCACGATAGTGGACATCAGAAATGGCCTTGATATACTCTACATCTGTGGGACTAGTCTTCCCATCCAAAGGTCCCTTAAAAAGCGGACATAAACTACATTTGCACCAGCCTGTATTCAGAATTGGTCTCCAGGCACCTATGTTGGTCGGAAGAGGCAAGGATTCGCATAGTTATTTGGTTGAGTGCATGTTTTCCTGCGTCGATGGCTGCTCATAATATCAGCCACTGGTTTGACTCGTCCAAACTTGTTCATTTAAAGGTCGTCGTTTTACAACTGTACCATCTTTCAGTGTGGTGTTAAACAATATACAAAACCAAAAAGCACCCAAATGTTTTTATGACATACGTAAGGTATACATTATCAGATACCGACGAGATACACATTTTATTTCAGCCAAGTATGGTACCTGTGTCTGTCAGTTGATGCGCATATGGGCCAATGATAGGATCTATGGCTCCAAAAAGCTTCTGTAAAGAGCTGCGAGGGTCAGGGCAGCCGCCACCACCACAGTTAGGCACCACGTTATATGAAGGAATACGGCAATTGGTGAAACCACAGGGACGATTCTTCAGTAAGTCTTCTATGTCAGTTTTTGTGGTTAAAAGAAAATGAAACACAGTGGAAGATTTGGTAGACATCTAACAGAGGAATGGAGTTACTGTGAAATTAACATACGGTTCTAGTGAGTCTGACGACATAGTCCATTTGCTTTCTCCAAAGCGGCTGACAAGAAACCACGTGTCAGCTTGTCCTTGTACGTTGCTATTGGCATGAATGAGTATATTTTTACGCCGCTTTTAGCAACCTGATGCCTGTGTGAGTAAGGAGGTTTTACAAGTATGCCAGTAGTATAACGCTTGGGGACTTCAGAAATGGCCCCTACTCACTGCACCCTATGGGTGTCTCTGAAGCTAACAAAACGTTTCCCTGCACAACGAAGAGCAAACTATATTTGCAACACCTCATATATAAAATTCAGAAACCTATTTTGGCAGAAGAGCGAGTGAGTTAAAAGTTAGATTCACATCGGCAGTATTTCGTCTATACCGTAACGACAGACGTTTTGCATACGCAGTATATACATGTTGTTATTAATAAATCCAGTCATCAAAGGCCTGTAAAATAACTAGACTATTACAGATGTTTTAAAACTAGTATGTAACCATAAACATATCATCATATGTAACAGGGGCGGTGGGGTAGCCTAGTGGTTAAAGCGTTGGCTCGTCACGCCGAAGACCCGGGTTCGAATCCCCACATGGGTACAATGTGTGAAGCCCATTTCTGGTGTCCCCCGCCGTGATATTGCTGGAATATTGCTAAAAGCGGCGTAAAACCAAACTCAGTCAGTCAGTCAGTCATATGTAACAGTACAATATCAAAACAGGCTACAGATCACCAGCAGCCAAAGGGAAATCACCATACTAGGGACCATGGGAACTTACAGTACCTTTGCTACGTGCATGGATCCCAGCAGGATTTACATCATCTCACTATCAACTGGTCATTACCAGCCAATTTTTACCACATTTAATACAAGAAGAATTATGCGATTTTAACCCTGGCAATGAGAAACATACTTTGAATGACGTTATCTTACGTACCATCTCAGGAGGATTTGGCAGAAGAGGTGATCTGAGGGTTTGTACTACCACAATGGAAGAGTTGGTTGACCATTACTTAGTGTTGCGTTAAACAATTTGAAGTACGTGTTTTACGTTTATATATACTGAGTCAAAATAGAAACTTCACAAAATGTAATTTGAAAAATAATGAATAATCTTTCTCTGATGATACATCTATGTATCCGAAATGGGATCCCTATCTTTCAACTCTAGAAAAACGTTAGCAAAACCCACTCAAACCCATCCATTCGTCGTGCAAATGACGTTAGTGCCAAATCAGGTTTTGCACGTGCAGTCGATCACGTGATCTTCGCATCGAAGTTTTCTTCATATGCACGTGTTTGCATTGGCCTCAAGAATTGAAAAAACACTTTTAAACCACAGTTCTAACGGTACTTGAAATGCCACGATTGTCAAATGTGCAACGTGAACGTGCCGTTGGCATGTTGCAAGCGGGAAGATCAGTTATTGACGTCGCAAGAGCAATGGGATGCAGCCGTTGTACAGTGTATGACTTGCGAGGTCGTCTACAACAAACTGGCACCACTTCTGAACGCCGAAGGTCGGGTCGTCCACGTGTGACGTCACGTGCAGAAGACCGTCAAATCGTCCTACGTCACCTACGTGACAGATTTCTGCCGGCTACACGAACCAGGGCTGAGATGTTTAGAGGTCGACTGTCCTCACAGACCATTCGAAATCGGTTGTGGGCTGCCAATCTCATTTCTCGACGTCCATATCTTTGGCCAATATTGACGCCGTTTCATTAACGTCAACGTCTGCTGTGGGCCCAACGTCACCTCCGATGGACCCAGAGAGACTGGAATCGAGTCGTCTTTAGCGATGAATCCAGGTTTACCCTCAGATTCGCGGACGTCAGGCATAGAGTCTGGAGACGACGTCGTGAACGGTATGCCCAATGTTGTGTACAGGAATTTGACAGATTCGGGGGCGGAAGTTGCATGGTGTGGGGTGCTTTCTGTGGGAACAACCGTTCCCGACTTCTGGTCATCCGTGGAAACCTCACAGCTGCTGCTTACCGCGACCAGGTGTTCACCCCTGAACTCGTTCCTTTCATGGCGGCTCATGGCCCAGGTCTACAGTTCCAGCATGATATTGCTCGGCCGCATACCGCGATGTTGACACGAAATTTCCTTCAAAACGCTGGAATCAACGTCATGGACTGGCCATCGAGGTCCCCTGACCTTAATCCAATAGAGCACGTTTTGGGATGCACTTGGGAGAAGGCTTCGTGGTCTTAGGAACCAACCTCAGAATTTGCAGGAACTTGGCGCTGCCTTGCAAGAGCAATGGCGCAGAATCCCCAAGCACGTGTTCACAAGCATCAGGCAGTCGATGAGGAAACGGTGTTTGGCAGTGGTGAATGCGCGGGGCGGCCATACACGATATCGAACTGAGAAATTTCGCATTTTTATTCTTGTGACCTGACATTCTGTATACCCATGTTTTGGAACGGCGGTGTAGCCTAATGGAACTGATTATGGCACTGTCAGTGTATCGAGTACATCACCCAGATCTCAGCAATGAAATAATAACAATTTAACCATCTTACCATCTCTTGTTCTTTTATAGTGCCCTGAAGAAAGACTGTGAAGTTTCTTTTTTGACTCAGTATATGGAAAGTTTGGTTATAGTAGTAGAAAGGATTTGCTGTAAATGTAACACATGAACTTTTTGAGAGTTAGTGAAAGTCACCACACCTCGACGGTTTGGACCTTTGGAAAGTTTGGTTATAGTAGTAGAAAGGATTTGCTGTAAATGTAACACATGAACTTTTTGAGAGTTAGTGAAAGTCATCACACCTCGACGGTTTGGACCTTTGTTCACACTATCAACCACTTGTGTGACTGGTCCAAACTTGGTCATTCACAGGCCATGATCATACTAGCAGGATTTACCGAGTGTGGCGTTTAACAATAACGAAAACGATAAAAACCAGATGTTTTTCATGACATATGTAAGGTTTACAGTCTCAGATATGTACCCACGAGATCGCACTTCAGCCGAGTATGTGTTTTCGTTTGTAATGAATGGAAGAATGATACCTGGTCTAATAGAAGCAAGAACGTCTGAAAGAATGCTGCCACCCCCCGTAGGCACATGCTTCAGCAGTTCTAGAAACGAAGTGGCCGCTTGTACTGTGGAATGAAAAACATTGGAAGGTTTGGGCGACATATAATAGCGGAAAGGTGTACAATGGATATAATTACTGAAAGTTCGTGGAGAATCTCAAGATCTTGACCTTTCGCTTTCTCTCACTCTTCAACGTTGCAATGAACAAACCTCATGTTACGATATTCTTGTACAGCACTGAAGTATGTTTCTACACCACTGTCATCTGGGGAAGTTTTGCATGCGCAGTATATACATGTAGTTATTAATAAATCCAGTCATCAAAGGACTTTAAAATAACTAGACTATCACAGATGTTTTAAAACTAGTATGTAACCATAAAAATATCACCATATGTAACAGTACAATATCAAAACAGGCTACAGATCACCAGCAGCCAAAGGGAAATCACCATACTAGTTCCTATGAGAACTTACAGTACCTTTGCTACGTGCATGGATCCCAGCAGGATTTACATCATCTCACTATCAACTGGTCATTACCAGCCAATTTTTACCACATTTAATACAAGAAGAATTATGCGATTTTAACCCTGGCAATGAGAAACATACTTTGAATGACGTTATCTTACGTACCATCTCAGGAGGATTTGGCAGAAGAGGTGATCTGAGGGTTTGTACTACCACAATGGAAGAGTTGGTTGACCATTACTTAGTGTTGCGTTAAACAATTTGAAGTACGTGTTTTACGTTTATATCTACTGAGTCAAAAAAGAAACTTCACAAAATGTAATTTGAAAAATAATGAATAATCTTTTCTCTGATGATACATCTATGTATCCGAAATGGGATCCCTATCTTTCAACTCTAGAAAACGTTAGCAAAACCCACTCAAACCCATCCATTCGTCGTGCAAATGACGTTAGTGCCAAATCAGGTTTTGCACGTGCAGTCGATCACGTGATCTTCGCATCGAAGTTTTCTTCATATGCACGTGTTTGCATTGGCCTCAAGAATTGAAAAAACACTTTTAAACCACAGTTCTAACGGTACTTGAAATGCCACGATTGTCAAATGTGCAACGTGAACGTGCCGTTGGCATGTTGCAAGCGGGAAGATCAGTTATTGACGTCGCAAGAGCAATGGGATGCAGCCGTTGTATTGTGTATGACTTGCGAGGTCGTCTACAACAAACTGGCACCACTTCTGATCGCCGAAGGTCGGGTCGTCCACGTGTGACGTCACGTGCAGAAGACCGTCAATCGTCCTACGTCACCTACGTGACAGATTTCTGCCGGCTACACGAACCAGGGCTGAGATGTTTAGAGGTCGACTGTCCTCACAGACCATTCGAAATCGGTTGTGGGCTGCCAATCTCATTCTCGACGTCCATATCTTTGGCCAATATTGACGCCGTTTCATTAACGTCAACGTCTGCTGTGGGCCCAACGTCACCTCCGATGGACCCAGAGAGACTGGAATCGAGTCGTCTTTAGCGATGAATCCAGGTTTACCCTCAGATTCGCGGACGTCAGGCATAGAGTCTGGAGACGACGTCGTGAACGGTATGCCCAATGTTTGTGTACAGGAATTTGACAGATTCGGGGGCGGAAGTTGCATGGTGTGGGTGCTTTCTGTGGGGAACAACCGTTCCCGACTTCTGGTCATCCGTGGAAACCTCACAGCTGCTGCTTACCGCGACCAGGTGTTCACCCCTGAACTCGTTCCTTTCATGGCGGCTCATGGCCCAGGTCTACAGTTCCAGCATGATATTGCTCGGCCGCATACCGCGATGTTGACACGAAATTTCCTTCAAAACGCTGGAATCAACGTCATGGACTGGCCATCGAGGTCCCCTGACCTTAATCCAATAGAGCACGTTTGGGATGCACTTGGGAGAAGGCTTCGTGGTCTTAGGAACCAACCTCAGAATTTGCAGGAACTTGGCGCTGCCTTGCAAGAGCAATGGCGCAGAATCCCCAAGCACGTGTTCACAAGCATCAGGCAGTCGATGAGGAAACGGTGTTTGGCAGTGGTGAAAGCGCGGGGCGGCCATACACGATATCGAACTGAGAAATTTCGCATATTTATTCTTGTGACTTGACATTCTGTATACCCATGTTTTGGAACGGCGGTGTAGCCTAATGGAACTGATTATGGCACTGTCAGTGTATCGAGTACATCACCCAGATCTCAGCAATGAAATAATAACAATTTAACCATCTTACCATCTCTTGTTCTTTTATAGTGCCCTGAAGAAAGACTGTGAAGTTTCTTTTTTGACTCAGCATATGGAAAGTTTGGTTATAGTAGTAGAAAGGATTTGCTGTAAATGTAACACATGAACTTTTTGAGAGTTAGTGAAAGTCATCACACCTCGACGGTTTGGACCTTTGTTCACACTATCAACCACTTGTGTGACTGGTCCAAACTTGATCATTCACAGGCCATGATCATACTAGCAGTATTTACCGAGTGTGGCGTTTAACAATAACGAAAACGATAAAAACCAGATGTTTTTCATGACATAAGTAAGGTTTACAGTCTCAGATATGTACCCACGAGATCGCACTTCAGCCGAGTATGTGTTTTCGTTTGTAATGAATGGAAGAATGATACCTGGTCTAATAGAAGGAAGAACATCTGAAAGAATGCTGCCACCCCCCGTAGGCACATGTTTCAGCAGTTCTAGAAACGAAGTGGCGGCTTGTACTGTGGAATGAAAAACATTGGAAGGTTTGGGCGACATATAATAGCGGAAAGGTGTACAATGGATATAATTACTGAAAGTTCGTGGAGAATCTCAAGATCTTGACCTTTCGCTTTCTCTCACTCTTCAACGTTGCAATGAACAAACCTCATGTTACGATATTCTTGTACAGCACTGAAGTATGTTTCTACACCACTGTCATCTGGGGAAGCAAGAGGTTGGGTTCACACAATGTATCCAAGTTAGGAATCGAAATCTGGTTTTCGGTGTGTGGAGCGAACAAATTTACTACCCCCCACCGCCTGAAATTGTTTACTATACTCCGTTTGGCTCAAAATCGGACCGATGAACTGCAATCTAACTCGAAAACTAATATATATATATAATACTCAATGAAACACTGATCATAATCAAAACATCAGACCAACTCTGTGATTTCTTTGCAGAATTTATAATATATTGTTTAACAAAAACTATCATTAAAATTTTGACACAGTTCATTATTTGTTACGAGGGAGGAGTGCAAAGAGAGGAACAGCCAGGTGTACGTGAAGCACGCACACAAGTCATTGATTCATTTACCTGTGATGTGCCGGCTCCATCCTTTCTCGCACACCTGGCTGTTCCTATCTTTACACTCCTCCCTCGTAACAAATAGTGAACTGTGTCAAAATTTGAATGATATACTCACACGCAAAAGAAACGCAGGTCGAGTATAAAGTATACATGTATGTAATTTTCAACATTAAATACAAGAAATACCAACAGAGGCCGATGGGCAAAACTTTTAGTGATGACATTTCATTGGCTGCAAAGACTGATGACATCATTTAGTATTCGAAACTAGAATTCAGAACACAGGTTCTGGTCAAGAGCCAATATGTCAGTCAATACCGTGTGTGACCACCATTAGAAGTGATCACGGCCACACATCGCCTGTACATTGAGTGGATCAGACGATTTGTAAAGGCCATAGGGATCCTTCTGCACACATCCAGAACAGCTGTGTGAGATTCATCGGCACTTGTAGGGACTGGTCGCACATTATGCAGACGCCTTTTAACCTCATCCAATAAGTGTTCGATAGGGTTCAGATCAGGACTGAGAGTGAGTGAGTGAGTTTAGAAATGGGCTTCACATGTTGTACCCATGGGGGAATCGAACCCGGGTCTTCGGCGTGACGAACGAACGCTTTAACCACTACGCTACCCCACCGCCCCGACAGGTCTGAGAGCTGGCCAGGGCATAATATGGATGTTGTGTTGTTGGAGAAAGGTCATCATAGCTTTTGCAACATGGGGACGAGCGTCATCCTGCTGGAAAATGTGTTGACGATGTTGTGCGAAAAATGGAACAACATGTGGTCTGATCACTTGGTTGATATAACGTTGAGCAGTGACGCCATGTCCCCGACTTTCACCAACATTCTGGAAGCACATTGGTCCAAGTCTCGCATTAAGTCCAATCCCTGCCCAGATCATGACGCTAGTCCATCCCATGCATCCCCTTCAAAAACGTTTTCATCAGAGAAACGATCACCTCGACGCCGCCAAATTCGGACTCTTCCATCTGCATGGGACACACAAAACGACTCTCATTCGAGAAGATGACATGTCTCCACTCACAATGACGCCAATTGTGATGATCTTGTGCCCACCGAAGTCGTGCTTGTCGATGCCTTGGTTGGAGAACGGATCGACGTGCTAGTCGGTGACATCTGAGATTGTTGAAACGGAGCCGTCGGATCACAGTGTCCCAGCTAATGCGTCGATTATGTGTTCCTATGGTGTCTCGAGCAGTCTGACTTGCAGTCAAGAACGGATCTCGCTGGTGTTGACGGGTAATGTGCCTTGCTTGTCGAGGGGTGGTGACCCTAGGACGACCGCTCTGAGGGAGGTCATCTCTTGTCTGTGTTGTGTTGTATCTATGCTGTAGTTCGTGGTTATGTTTACGTTGAAATGACGCGCAACATCTTCCAAACGTCTGATAGCCTGGGTTCTTGCAATGTGAGTTAAGCGTGGCATTTTTTTAACAAGGAGTGACAGGCCCAATTTTTGTGGACTGTCTTATACCCACTAAAGGTGGTGACAATCCGTGCATATTCGATTTCACGATAAATGTGTGCATGATACCCACATGTTCATTGGTATGGTGCGTTTTGGTTATTCCTTCTTTTTGTGTGTTTTTCTCGAAACTTCCTAAACGCAACAAACATTATTGATAACACCATCAGGCTTAACTATATTTCATATACTGAGATCAATTTAGGGTTCCGAGTTTGTTTCTTGTTCGGATAAAACACTTGCGTTTCTTATGCGTGTGAGTATAGTTTGTCAACAACATTTTTTAGTTTTAGAACATAAATTCTGCAAAATCCTCACAGAGTTGGTCTCATGTTTTAATTATGATCAGTGTTTCATTTAGAATTATATGCATATTAGTTTTCGAGTTAAATTGCAATTCATCGGTCCAATTTTGAGCCAAACGGACTATAGGCTATCCACACCGCTCTCAACATCTTGGAAATTGGTTGGGTTTTGATATATAATATATTTTTACAACCAGTTTCTTTTAGCTTTCAATCTTTTGAGATTCTAACACCCTACAAGCAAATGAGTTTTAAATGTAAAAATAAACAATAACTGCTAATGCATGTTAGATTTTACCATTAAGACAAATTATATTTTAAAACATATTTTAGATTTGTTTGAAATATAAACGACAAAGCCCATTTCACATCCTTAAGAAATTTGTTCTGAAAGAGCATGCTGGACTGTATCTTGTGAGTGAGTGATTGAGTTTAAGTTTACGCCGCACTCAGCAATATTCCAGCTATATGGCGGCGGTCTGTAAATAATCGAGTCTAACCAGACATTCCAGTGATCAACAGCATGAGTATAGATCTGCGCAATTGGGAACCGAAGACATGTGTCAACCAAGTCAGCGAGCCTGACCACCCGATCCGGTTAGTCGCCTCTTACGACAAGCATGAGTTACTGAAGGCCAATTCTATCCCGGACCTTTACGGGTCTTATCAGATTTGAATAGGAACACCAAAAGCTGTTGACAGTTGCTAGACATGAAGGGAAAGTTGAAATCATCAATTTCGTCATACAGTCAATAATTTCATGTCAATTTGAATGTTTATGCATGTAGATCTAAATATGGAACTCATCAGGCTGTCTGTTTTTTCTCAGTCGAAAGAAATTGGCATTTGAACGATAATCGATTATCGATATACCTGAAGCTTAAGGTAAACTTCTTGGCCGAATGCCTTTCTTTCATACTGCCAACTAGAGCAAAAATTCTGACTCGTATGCATTACGAAACACATCCACGGATATGGTAGCACAACTGGTGCCCGTGGGATTGCCTTCTTATTGTCTAAGATTTGACAAAAATATCCTGATACTTTGAAGACAGGTTCGTACATATGTCTGTGTTTACCATCGATCAACCAATGAAATGTTTTCTGAGTCATGTGGGATAATTGTGCACAACGCTTTTTTTTAAAAAGATGGTAAAAATTTAAGCAAATCCTTCGAGTTGACAGTAATTTAGGCTTAATTACCTGGTACTGGCGCTGCATGGGTGACACATACCAGCGTGACGAACACAGCCAACTTCAGAATCATTGTTGATGCTGAAACACTAGATCAGATCCACCCTTCATCATTATTATATCTCCATTATATTACGTTCGTTCGTTTTGTTTGTTTGGGCATTTTGGTGTTCAGCAACCCTTGCTTGTCGTAAGAGGAGACAAACAGGGTCAGTTGTCATCATAGCCAAATTGCGTAGGTCGATGCTTATGGGTGTCATTCACTGGATTGTCTGGTCCAGGCTCGATTGTTAACAGACCGCCGTCATATAGATGTAATATTTTGAGTGCGACAAAACAAATATATCTGAACAATGATAGCCACCCTCGAATTTGTGGGACTTAAACCCATCGTTTAATTCTTGTGAAATGCTACGTACCAGAAACGACTTTTTTGATTCAAATTTGTTCTCTGAAAATGAAATCTCTTAGGCATTTTGATTGGACTTGCTCCCCAAGGGATTAAGGGCCTTTCATACGTTAAACGCAAAGAAACAAACAAAATCTTAGGACAATCTCAGCGGGGAACATCTAAATGCACATTCGCGTCAAATAGCTCGAAATGTTTCTGAGTGAGGCATCAAACCATATTCACACCGAGGAAGCTTCAAACTGAGAACTTAATAACGAATTAATATTTCTCTTCATATGACCACGATATGAATGAAATAAAATGCTTTGACATTGATATCTAGTTTGGTTTATGAACAATGGCAACTTACATGTATCTTACTCCTGTGTTGCTGTGTGAAGATACTGACAATACTGAACTGTGTCTTCCTTATATAACACCCGCATATATTTCAGTCAAGGTCTTTCAGTTTACCTTTACAAAATGATGAAATAGTGTCACCGTGACCATGCATGACGGAGGGCATATGTCAGTTATTATTAGCCTTTCAAGACTTTATCAATTTATGTTTTATATAACTTGTAATCTTTTACAACATCTGCTGGCTTTCTTCACAGTGAATGCAGTCAGAATGGGACCTTGCAACCTGGGCTAGATTCGACCGGCAGCGGCATTCCACGGGTCTAAAACCTATTGCAACATCTACAAATCATTTCCTCGACAGTAAGCAGGCACTTTCTCCAAAACCACCGGCAATCATACTCACTTGTCGGCCATAGACGGCCTTGACATTCCTGTGGTGATTGTTCAGGGCATCTTAACTGGTGTGGGCTACAGGGATCATATTCTTCGACCTGTGGCAATTCCTTTTCTGCAACGTCATGGCCCTGGGTTAACATTCCAACAGGACAATGCCCGCCCTCATACGGCAAGGGTTGCTGTGGATTTCTTGCAACACCACAACGTTGACTTACTGCCTTGGCCTGCAAATTCACCGGATCTCTCCCCGATGGAGCATGTTTGGGACGCCGTCTTCCTCATCCGCCAGA